GCTCCTCAGACCTCATCAACTCAAATGCTTGTCCAATCTTAAATACAAGCCGGACAGCATGATGGAGGTCTGCCACACCCTTGTTGGGTTTGGGGGAGGACTTGTGCACCCAGTCTGACGCATTGACTTACCAGTCCGACTGGGAAGCAGGGGGGACGGTCGGCACATGACCATCTGTTTCCTAGTGGTTGAAGAGCTCACAGCTTACAACCTCATCTTTGGCCGACCCACCCTTAATGAGTGTAAGGCCATCACCATCCCTGCTCTGATGCTACTCAAGTATGAAAAGGATGATTGAACAGTCGGTTCCCTCAGTGGGGACTAAAAGACGGCTCGAGAGAGTTATCTCTCGGACGTCAAGCCCGCGGCCGTAGCATCTGGCCGGGGCAAGCAAACGATCATCCTCAACGATGTCGAGGGAGAACAGTCGGCCCCACCATCCGGAAAGAAAAGAAAGACTGATTAGCTGGTGGTGGTCAAAAAAGAGAAGCAATAGCAATCACTGACCGGGGAAGGGTCGGATGATCTCCGTCCCCAGCCTGCTGGTGAACACATTGATATCCCTCTGGATGATAGTCGTCCAGAGCGGGCGGTTAAGGTGGGGACGGTTGCATTTGCAAAGATGGGTGAAAGCCTTCACCAGCTGCTGAGAGAATTCAAAGACATATTTGCATTTGAAGTGGAGGAGATGCCAGGCATCAGCCCGGACCTCGCTGTCCACAAACTCGCCGTGGATCCCAAAAAGAAGCCCATCCGGCAAAAGAAAAGAAATCATGGCGAAGAAAGAAGTCAAGCGGCAGCCGCCGAAGTTAAAAAGCTGCTGGATGCCAAGTTCATTCGGCCGTGCAATTTCCCTGAGCGGGTAGCTAACGTTGTGTTAGTAAAAAAGCCGAATGGAACTTGGCGGATGTGTGTTGACTACACAGACCTCAACAAGGCATGTCCAAAGGATAGTTATCCATTGCCTAAGATCGACAGTCTGGTCGACTTAACAGCCGGACATGCCCTGATGAGTTTTATGGACGCCTATTCAGGCTTCCACCAGATCCCCCTGTGGAAAAAAGATCAAGAAAAGACGACATTCGTCACTGATCAGGGGTTGTTCTGTTATACGGTGATGCCGTTTGGTTTGAAAAATGCGCCTGCTACTTTCCAACGAATGATTAATACGGTCTTCATAAATCAAATCGGAAAGAATGTAGAGGCGTACATTGATGACATGATAGTCAAATCCAAATAACAGGCGGATCATCTTGCAAATCTCCAAGAAACATTCGCCACACTCAGGCGGCACAAGGTCATGCTAAACCCGAAAAAGTGTGTCTTTGGCGTTGAGTCTGGGAAGTTTCTCGGATTTTTTATTGACCAAAGGGGAATAGAGGCTAACCCTGAGAAAATACAAGCGGTAATCGACATGCAGTCGCCCTGTACTGTGAAGGAAGTGCAAAAATTAACAGGTTGTCTGGCGGCCTTGGGGAGATTCCTCAGTCGGTCAGGCGACAAGTGTCTCTACTTCTTCCAGGCAATCAAAAATAAGACCAACTTTGATTGGGGGGATGATGCAGAGGCGGCCTTTCAAAAGCTAAAAACTCATTTGTACTCTTTGCCAAGGCTTGTCAGCCCTTTGCCCAAAGAGAAGCTCTTCATGTACTTAGCCGTCTCTGATCATGCCCTCAGTGTTGTTCTCTTAGCTGAAAGAGACGGCATCCATCTCCCAGTGTATTTCATTAGCCATGTTTTGAGGAACGCAGAGCTTCGGTACCCCATGGTTGAGAAATTCGGCCTTGCCCTTTACATGGCCATCAAGAAGCTAAAACCCTACTTCTTGGCGCATGCGGTACAGGTCTATACTGACCAACCGATCAAGCGGCCACTCACAACCTTGGAGTCTTCTTGACAAATGCTTAAATGGGCAATTGAAATGCAAGGATTAGAAATCACTTTATTGTCGAAATGACAAGGCCGGTTGTACCGGACAATACTGACCAGGTTTGGAAAGTGTATGTGGACGGGAGCTCCACTATGGACGGCTGTGGTGCAGGGATTATCTGTCAGTCACCTAAAGGAGATAAGTACGAATATGCACTATAGTTCAAGTTCCAGGTCTCTAACAATGAGGCCGAGTATGAGGCCCTGCTGGCCGGTATTCGGTATTGCAAGGCGGTAGGGGCAAAGAAGATTGACGCCTGCTCTAACTCTCAACTAGTCGTACACCAGGTCAATGGAACGTACGAGGCCACTCATCCGGCCATGATAAAATATTTGCAGGCGGTCAAAAGTGAAGTTGGGACACTTGAGGAGTTCCATTTAAATCAGGTGCCCAGGTGCCCAGAACTAGCATCATCCACCTCCTGTGAAACACCTCGGTCGGTCTTCTAGGAAGTCATGGAAAAGTGAAGTATATCTGATGAAGACCCCATTGGAATTCTCGACCGAAGCTCTACCTGGATGGACATCATCCGGGCTTATCTTGTAGACGGTACGCTCCCTGATTCACCTCAGGAGGCGGCTGTTCTGAAGAAGAAAGCGGTAAACTTCGAGCTAAATCAAGGAGAACTCTTCAAAACTTGTTTCCTGAAACCCCTGTTGAAGGGTAAAGAGGTCCTCGAAGATTTGCATGCGGGGTTCTGCGCCTCCCATATAGGCGGCAGGTCTCTAGCTGCCAAGGCCAGGCGACTCTATTTTTGGCCAACTCTAGAGTCGGATGCTATGAAAATGGTCAAAAAGTGTGACAAGTGTTAAATATTTGGCAAGCTCATCCATCGTCCGGCCACAGACCTGACGGCCATCCACAGCCCAATACCCTTTGCCAAATGGGGCATGGACATACTTGGGCCTTACACCGCGGCCCCAGGCGGTAAGCGCTACATATTGGTAGCTGTGGATTACTTTACCAAGTGGGTAGAGGCGGAGGTGGTCAAAAACATTAAGACAAATGACGTTATTTCCTTCATCTGGAGGAATATTATCACTCGCTTCGGGGTGCCCGTGTCTATGGTTTTTTACAATGGTCCTCAATTTGAAACACCTCAACTCAAGACTTGGCTGGGAGAGCAAGGGGTCTCAAGCTTCTTTGCATCAGTCGGTCAGCCCCAAGCAAAAGGCTAGGTTGAAGCCTTCAACAAGCTGATCTTAGACGAGATTAAAAAGAAAGTTGAACGGGCTGGTGGTCTTTGGGCGGATAAATTACCACATGTCCTCTGGTCCATCAGAATGACTGCTAAAGGGGCAACTAGAAAAACCCCTTTCCTCATGGTGTATGGTGCAGAAGCTATCCTACCCATTGAACACTATGAGCCGACTCTTCGGATCATGTTATATGATTAAGAAGCTAACTGTGAGGCCATGCGGCTAGCATTGGACTCACTTCCAGAGCGCAGGGGCAATGTTGCCTTGCGCCGTGAGATTTACCGTCTGAGAATGACACGGGCTTACAACAAAAGAGTACACAAGCGTCCTCTCAAAGTGGGAGACTTTGTGCTAAGGAAAATGGAGGCAATCGGTAGGGCGAATGAGCAGGGAAAGTTGACCCCAAATTGGGAAGGTCCCTACCGAATATATGAGGAAGTAAGAGACGGCAGGCAGCTTCCTAGAACTTGGAATGTGGAAAACTTGAAAAAGTACCATTTCTAAGTACAAATGTAAATACTTGATCAAACTGTCATTTCAAACTTTGCTAATGAGAATATGCCTTCATTTTCCAAATTTTCTTTTTATTATTAGTGTCGCACGTAAAAAATACAGACGGCCAATGTATTTGGGTAATGTCTGTCCCAATAAAAGACGCCCCAACCTTTATGAAGGAGCCGACTACTCTAGAGCAGTCGTTCCTACGAAATTCTTTGACCATTATGTTAACACTTAAGGAATAACTGCTTAAATCTCTAAAAGGCCTAAGGCCAGATAAAATCATTTTGAGGCCAATGTCCGGATATTAAGAAAAACAGATAGAGACCGAATGGTCACAATCTACTCCAACATGAGTATGACCGACTGCTTCAATATGAGTCAGATAACCGACGACGCCCATTCGGGCGAATTCATCGAGGAGAAGCATCTCCCATTTGGGTGGCACATTGCTCTACAAATTACATCAAACAGCCCTACAAATGCTAAGGCAGCATCCGCAGTTGTTTGTTTTAATCGAAAGTGAAATCTAAAAGGCCTGAATTTTCCAACTGTTCCAGCACAGCCAGAACAGGGTCACTGTTTCATAAGTAGAGGCTATTGAGGCATTAGGCCGGATGCGCTTGATTTTTCTCTTGGGAAAGACAGGCGGAAGATTTTTGCTGATCTACAAGTCAAGTTAATTACTGAGGCCCATGGCAAGATACGCCTGTTTTCTGCCCAAACGCAGGACAGACGAACCTGCGGGCCGGATGCACGTGCACTTTGCTCTTGGGGTAGACAGGCGGACTATTTACACGAGGCCTTTGGCCGGATGCGCTTGTTCTTAGCTCTTGGGGCAAAACAGGCGAAGGATTTCTTTTCAAATTTGCTAAGGCAAGAATTTTGTATCTCGTTTGAGCCAATGGTCGAATGAAAACAATTATTCATTAGCTCCGGATGGCCGTCTGTCGCGTGGTTTGGGGCAATCACCATAGTGATTGATTGACTTAGAAACCATGCATACTCTTTTAAGTATCAATAATTTCTAAGTCAATCAATCCACTCAACCTAAACCACTCGACATCCGTCCAGGGGCAAGAACATTCGCATGTTATATAGGTTATAATACTTAGCCAAAAAACATGCAATAAAATTTTTTTTTAGAAAAAAAACAACAACAATATGAATAACTTCAGCGAAACGGCCGAATGGTTTTAGATTAATAGACCCAATCGCCACTAGACGATCGGATAAGATTGTTTGCTGGCCACGCCAAAGAAATTGTTAAATTACCCGACCCCTCGGTCGGTAAAGATACATGGATACTCGGCACGCAGGCCGGAAGATGAAATGTATGGTCATTCGGCCGCAGAAATAACTACTAAAAAGCTTTAAGGGGCAGAGGGATTATCAGCATTGGCAGCCGCATCATCAGTTGTCGGCTGCTCTTCATTTTCATCATCTTCCTCTTCCCCGCCTTCGTCCCCTAAAGAGCCTGAAGAGGAGTCGGCCTCATCACCATCAGCGTCATCCTTGTTCGCCTCCTTTTCAGCCTAGCGAAGGAGTTCAGCATTGAAATCCTCGTTTGCTTGATCAAACTTAGATTTTCAGATGCCAAAATCAGCACCCGGTTGTACCGCCTCCCATGCCGTCCGCATGATGGTATCGTAGTCTTCCATTATTTGTTTGACAAGGGCCTGCTTCTCCTCCTCAGCCCGGGACTAGAACTTGGCCTTCAGCTGCTGTTGCTGGTTCGCTAGGCGCCCCTCCAGGCGGCCAACCCGCTCCTTGGCCCTCTCGGCCTCTTCCTTATCCTCTTAAAGAGGCTCAAGATTTACCTTGATGCCTTTAATCTCGGCGTTAAGGTCGTTAATTTTGGAGCGAGCCGAATCCAGGTTTTTCTTCACCTGCAGGTTGGTGTCCGCCTGGGAATACATCATATCAAGGGTCAAAAGTTCATTCTGAGCAATTTCAAATTGAGCTCGGTCTAAGGCGGACTCAGCTCGAGCTTTAGCAGATGTTACCTCCTTAGTCTTCTCCTGGATTGGCCTTCTTAGCCCTTGGACGCGCAGCATGGCCTGGAAATGAGAAAAGATCCGAATGGTCAAGACCAGTCGGATATGTGCTTAAATATTAAGGAAAATGTAGCTAACTTTTTTTACCTCACAGAGGTTCCCCAAGATGGCATCCAAGTTAAGGGTGTCGACTCCTCTCACGGATGCCTTGTCCTCTGGATCGAGCGACCGCAACATCTCCTTGGCCATCTGGACGACGGTCGGCCTTTGCACAGGAACTGCAAAATTATAAGTTAATCAAGAAAGTTCTAAGAAACTATCTTGATACTGGAATTCAATGAAGATGCGGCTTAAACCGTCCGGCTGAGCCTCCTCCTCCTTCCCATGACGCCTCTTCTCTCCTGCTGAGCCGACAGCAGTGCTGGGTTGCTTAAAGCCACCCTTCGATGCCTGAGTGGCATCCGGTTTGCTGACCTCCCTATCAGCATCGAGAGTAGAGACGTCCCCTCTCCTGGGCTTGTGAGTGACGTGCTTCCGGCTCTTGCCGGATGCACTCACATCACCCGCCCCTGTTTTTTTAATTTTGGGTTGGAATTGCTTGGAGGGAGAAGGCCTGGTGGAAACACTCTGCATGAACAAAAAGCAAGGCATCAGAAAAGCAGGCGGGCAAAATTTAACCTTTATTGAAAATATATGTCCCGTGTCATAAACAGCTACCTTGGGAGTTCCGGCTGCTTTCTGCTCGTCATTCGCCCTTTTAAGGACGTTAGTGCGGTACTTTGCTGCAGAGACGGCAGCCGGCTTCTTTGTTGCCGAGAGCTTTTCCATTGCTTTGTCTGCACCAAAAGAAAAAGTTAGGTTTTATAAACAAACATTGAAAAACATTTTAAAGTTTGCATAAGATCAGACGGCCGACTACCTCTAGGCATCTCAGAACTTAGCCCTCAAGCGGCCAAGTACACCCCATCTTCTAGCCACTTGTAAAGGGGAATGTAGCTTTGGGGGACGACTATTTTCTCCCCATGCAACAGAACCCTGTCAAAAATTTCCTCCTGGACCCGCCTAGAGAGAGGGGGCAAGGCGCTCTTACCAGCCAGGAGGGGCGGATCCTTGTTCCACCTATTATATTTTTGGTTCAGTCGGCTTTTACAGGAATGGACAATGTAGAACTTTGTTCTCCAGTCCTTCCATTTGTTCTCCTTACCGACTGCCATCATGTACCCCTTGCAGGTGGACAAGGTGTACTAGCCTTCGCCGCCCTTGGCAGGCGCTCGGCTAAGATAATGCATGTGGGCGAATGCCTCAAAGTTGGGATCCACCTCCAGCATTTCACATGCGGCAACGTACCCGATAATATTGATCTAGGAATTCAGTACAAGTTGCCAGATACCCAGCTGGTATCCGCCCAAAATCCTCTCCACGGCCAGATGAAGAGGGAAGCGTAAACCAGCCTCAAGGACCGCCTCGTAGCAGCCGAAGGCTTGGTCCTTATAACTGGCCAGGGAAGGCCAGGTTATAGTATCAATCCTTGTTGGGGACAGACAAGGAAAAGCCATGCCCCATTACGGTCTTGCGCCTGAAATTGGCAAGACCGGATGTCATAGAGGTCCGCTTGCTTTGCGGAACATGGTGATAGTAGGGGGCGCGTTCCAAGCGCCTGGAAGCACTCGGCTCCACCCAGCCTTCCCCTTTTTCTACTGACAAGGATTCCCTTTCAGTTTCTATTTTTGCTCGGGCTTCTTCTGAATTAACTGGGGCGCTATCAGAAGATGACGAGGCTGAATCGTCATCGGAGCTTTCCCAAGAACAAAGGGACTGCCGGCTAGGGCCAGCAGGGTCCTCCCCTAGAATCTCCTCCGACGCCTGTTCTGAAAGCTCGGACTGGTACTGACTGTCGGCTTCTCTTAGAATAGTATCACTAGGGGTGCCGCTTGAAGAAGGGAGAGAGTAGTATGTTGGAGTTTGGGAAAGGTCAGAAGAAGGGTTTGGGGGGTGCTCAGAAATTTCGCTAACTGGCACCCTAATGGAGCCATCTGAATTTTGAGTCTAACTGTCCGAATGGTAAAAGGAACCATCCGACCTATATCTCCTTATTGTCTACTTTGTTCGAGCCATTGTGTCCTGCAGATGCACAAACACTGTCGGATTTGGAGATGTACTTAAAGGAAATTTCTCGAACGAGCATTCGGCACTCCTGGTTCTAGATTCAGCCGTCCCCGGTGACCGGCTGATCGCTAACCTAGGTCGTGCCGTGTACGTTTGGGAAACCATTCGAATAAATGAAAAATACAAGAAAAAATAAAAGAAAAGAGCAAGTGGTTACCTTAGAAGAAGGTTTTGTGAGACGCCATGTTAGCTGAACAGTTGAACAGAAAGGCCGAGCGTCGGATGCTTGACAAAGTTGGGGTATTTGAGAGTCTTTTGAAAGTCAAAAGTCCAGAGATTCTCCAAAGATTCTCCAAAGAAATCGTCACAGGCGAAGGGAAGATGTTTGAAGAATCAGACGATGAATCTATTATAGACTCTAGGGAAGCTGAAAATTTAGGCCTTGTGGCCATTACTGAGTCTTTATTTTCTACAACTAAGGAGGAATATCCCAAAGAGGATTCTTCTCTTGATGTACTCTCTTTTTATTTTAATATGAGCTCTATTTTCGAGTATATGCCTTCTCTTGAATCTTTCGAATCCTATAACAATCAATCTAATGAAGATGATAACGTTATAAATTGGTTAAACTACTGAATAAACGAGAACAAAAGAACCCTATCGTTGAAGAAACTGAAATAGTTAATATAGGAACTAACGAAAATAAGAGAGAAGTCAAAATTTGCTTAACTCTAAATCCGAAAGAGCGATCGACCCTCATATCGACGCTCAAAGAATTCGAAGACATGTTTACTTGGTCATACAAGGACATGCCTGGAATAGATAGGGAAATCGCGGAACATAGCATTCCCTTGAACCCTACTTCTAAACAAGTAAAACAAAAACTACGACGAATGAAACCTGATGTCGCATTAAAAATAAAAGAAGAAGTACAAAAATAGTTGGAAGCCGGTTTTATTCGTGTATGTAATTACCCAGAATGGGTAGCGAACATCGTTCCAGTCCCTAAAAAGGATGGACGAGTTCGCATGTGTGTCGACTTTAAGGATCTTAATAAAGCTAGCCCTAAAGACGATTTTCCTCTACCACATATTGATATATTGGTAGATAACACAGCTAAACATGCGATGTTATCCTTTATGGATGGTTACGCAGGTTACAACCAAATTTTATTGGCAAAAGAAGATGAAGAAAAGACATGCTTATTACCCCTGGGGTACGTATTGCTACACAGTTATGCCATTTGGTTTAAAAAATGCAGGAGCTACGTACAAAAGAACGGGTACGACTCTCTTGCACTATATGATGTATAAAGAAATAGAAGTGTATGTGTATGATATGATCGTAAAGTCCAATGATAAAATGGGACATATAAAAGCTTTACGTAAATTTTACACTCGCATAAAAGAATATAAAATGCGATTGAATCCACAAAAATGCACCTTCAGAGTAACTTCTGGTAAGTTACTCGGATACGTTGCAAGCACACGTGGCATCGAGATCAATCCCTCTAAAATAAAGGCAATTGTTGACATGCCTCCCCCTCAAACAGAAAAAGAAATTAGGGGATTCCTTGGAAAATTACAATACATTAGTCGATTTATCAACAAATTGACTATGACTTGTGAGTCAATATTTAAAAAATTGAAAAAAGAGGAGAAACATGAATGGGATGATCAATACCAAAAGGCCTTTGAGAAAATCAAAGACTATCTCAAAAGTCCACCAATTTTAGAACCACTAATACCCAAACTACCTCTTAGGCTATACATTACAGTTACAGACACAGCCACAAGCGCCATGTTAGCACAAGAGGTAGAAAAAGTCAAACGTGCAATATATTACATAAGTAAGAAATTCATCCTATACGAAACAAAATATAGCACCTTGGAAAAGACAAGCCTAGCATTAGTGTGGGCAACCAAAAAGTTACGACATTATATGTTACCACACACTACTAATGTGATTTCTTAACAAAATCCGATAAAGTATTTGTTTGAACAACCACCCATACAAGGAAGGATATCTAAGTGGTTGGTGATGTTGGCTGAATTTGAGCTAAAATAAATTCCTGAAAAATCAATGAAAGGAAAAGTAATTTCCGACTTTCTGGCACAACATCCAATTCAAACAAGTCGTGCAGAAACTACTCATCTTCCGGATGAAGAGATTCTCATGACACAAGATGATAAATGGGTAATGTACTTCGACGGTGCGTCCAGTCAAAAGGGATGTGGCGTAGGAGTGTTACTCATAAGTCCAGAGGAAGAACATACTCCAATCTCTGTTAAATTAGACTTTGAGGTTACTAATAATGCCGCAGAATGTGAAGCGTGCATTATTGGATTAGAAGCAGCGGCTAGCATAAGTATGCAAAAATTAGAGGTATATGGAGACTCCAGTTTGATTATAAATCATATAATAAAAATGGATAATAAAGAACTCCACAAAGATATTTTACCGAGCACACCTAGAGTTACTCATTGAGCATTTCGAACATATTGATTTCAAATATCTCCCAAGGGATGACAATCAATTTTCCGATGCACTAGCAAAATTAGCCTCAATGATCAACATTCTAGATCACTTAAATATGAGGCCATTATGCGTTGATAGAAGAGAAGAACTAGCGTATTGTAACGTAATAGAGGAAATAAATGACATTGAAGGAGACAATCCTTGGTATGATCATATCCTCCAATATATTACTCATGGCACATATCCCGAAAATATTTCATCGAAAGACCAACGAGCCTTACAACACTTGCGGCCCAATATGGTCTAATAAATGGTTAATTATGCCAAAAAGGACCTAATGGTCAAAGCCTACTATGTATAGGCCAACCGGAAGCCACACGCCTTATGGAAAATACTCACAAAGGTGTTTGTGGACCTCACATGAATGGTAAAATTCTTTCAAAAATAATTTCACGACAAGGGTACTATTGATCCACTATGGAACATGATTGCATACAATATGTTAAAAAATGTCCACAGTGCCAAATGTTCTCCAATTTACAACACCTTCCACCATCCGAACTATACAATCTCACTTCCCCTTGGCCTTTTTCGACTTGAGGAATTGACATAATTAGAAAAGTCTCTCCAACAGGATCAGGAGGGCACGAGTACGTATTAGTTGCTTCTTATGTGAATATCACTTCTAAACATGTCGCAAAGTTTCTCGAACGAAACTTATTTTGTAGATATGGAGTTCCACATGAACTAATTAGTGATCAGGGGTCTCAATTTAAAGCTGAAGTCGAGACCCTCTTAACTAGTTATAAAGTAAAACATCATCACTCATCCCAATACAGACCTCAAATGAATGGAGCTATAGAGTCAGCAAATAAAAATACAATAGTCATCATTAAGAAAATGGCAGAAAATTACAAAGACTGGCCGAATAAATTACACTTTGCATTATAGGGTTATAAAACGTCTATACAAACATCAATAGGGGTAACTCCATACTCCTTAGTTTTCGGAATGGACGCAGTTCAACCAGTCGAACTGGAAATACCATCCCTACGCATCGTACTTAAAAGTAAGCTACCGGAAGCTGAATGGGTAAGAGAGAGGTATGAAGGGCTTTTATTCCTCGATGAACGACGATTAAGAGCTTTGCATCATGTACAAGTCTACCAAAGGCGCATTGCGCGTCATTTCAATAAAAGAGTAAAACTTAGAAATATAAAAGAAGGCGACTTTGTACTAAAGGAGGTTAGGGGTCCACCAATCGATCCAAGAGGGAAATTCTAACCTAATTGGATAGGTCCCTACCGCATAATTGAAATCATATCAGGAGGAGCCTTCAGATTAATGGATATTGGAGGAGATGAAATTCGCCAATTATTAAACATTGATCGCCTTAAGAAATATTACATATGAAATCAGGATAAAACTCGTTCACTCATACAACCATTTTTAATTAAGCATTCAATTGAAAGATTCAAAGTGTTATGCATTTTACCGAATAACACGGTAAAATACATAACACTTGGGGGGTAATTTAGAAATAATAAACCGTTCTAAGTGTTTAAATTTTTTCTAACATCATGAAAAAATCTTCACACTTGGGGGGATAACAATACAATTTTTTTAAGAAATTTTTTTCGAGACATTCGTAGTACAGGTGTCGCGCACAACTGGAATAGTTGCGCGCGGATGTCACGCGCAACTGATTTTGTTGCGCTTGACAGACTCGCGCAACTGATTTTGTTGCGCTTGACAAACTCGCGCAACTCTAAATGTTGCGGGCGCCACATGATGACGAACTGTGAACCCAAATTTTTGAGTTTGAATGAAGTTGCGATTTCTACTTACGGTAAAAAAGGGGGTGTTTCTCAAATATAACATATACTCAGAAAATAAAATTAAACTTTGATTTAATTTTTTTAAACAAAGTTTGATTCATTTTTTCATTTAATTTCTATCTAAGAGGTTAAAGAAAAAATAAAATAAAAATACATAATAATATTTTAAAAAATAGAACTACGCAAAGACCTGATTTCGTAATGCAAATACGTAGACAATCTTTATGATTCGGTCATATCAAAATATAAAAATATAAAGCTCATATTTTTCATTCAAAATTCAAAAGAGAGACACTATTGAACTAGATAGTAAACGAAAAAAAAAAAACATATTAATGATAACACTTTATTCGAAAACAAAACTAATGATAAAATTGTGTAACACTCTAAGGTTTTACTATGTCCTCGATTGTCACAGATGATGGAGGAGTAGTTTCCATCGCAGCATTTTCAGAAACCTTGGAGCTTTCCCCTATACTCTTCTTCTTCACCCAAACATTGTTTTTCAATTTAGGGATTGGGGCCTTTGCAACCTGTTTTCCTTTCCCTTTGACTATTGGAGCTTTCTTGCGAGTATTTGGTGAAGGTTCTTTGATTTTCACACCTTATTACGCGGGTTTGGAGGGAGCTTTCCTTTTTGTTTCCTTTGAACGAGCCTTAGGGGATGAGAAAGTCTAATTTTCTTCTCACTTCTTTGTTTTGGCCACTAGGAGGAGTAGTAGTGGTTGAATGCATCAAAGGCTTAGGTGGATTGCGAGCGGTGGCGGCTTGAAGTTGAGATTGAGCCTAATTTAATTCACCCTTATCCGCCGCATTCATCCAAGCCTTGTAAAAGGAAGATAATGTGATACTCACGGGAGGATTTTGTATTACCCACTTAGGAAGACTTGACCAATATTCCATCCAACGAGCAATCCTTTCGGGTTTAAAGGTCACATCTTTAGGGGCATCACAATCTTGCGGAGGAATAAATTGCCTCATCCATTATTGTCACATCACCCTACAAGGAAAAATATAAGTAATACTAGATAGGCCTAAAGGCCTAATGAAAGGGAAATTAAGACTATTCCCAATCATACTATTTATGTTCCACCAAGGAATCACAAACCGTATGTTAGGAACCCCATGACAGAAAAACGACGTCCATTCCTCTTCGCTCTTATGCTTATAAAGGATTCAACGTCAAGGGAATGTCTTTACTCCATTAGCCGCAAGGTTTTGAGGCTGATCGACAATTCGCAAACGCTCCATGAGCAAAATCTGAAGAAAAAAAATAGTTTGCAATTTTTTACACAAACAGGTGGCGCGCACAACTATACCACTTGCTTGCACCCTCCGCGCGCAACGAAGAAGACTGCGCTGGTTATGCTAGCGCAACTCTTGACTTTCCCTGATAAACGCCGAAAAAAGAAAAATAAAGCGTACATGTAATAGGAGTGGACTTCCCATAAAGTTGTTTTCGTTAGGATCTCCTCTAAGGCGATTCAAGTACAGAACGGTTTCCGCCAAAACCAAAGTAGCGGGTGAATGACATCCCTCTATCTGCTCTACTATGGACACCATCGAATAATCTCCATATTCTTTGCCTATCCTATGTAAACAATTAACAACAAGACAATAACATAAAGCATGAATTTTTAAGCGTTGTTTAGTCATGTTGTCACGAGGGGCGACGAAGTGTTCAATAAATTGAATTAAGTTCACACCTTCTTAAGTTCCTATGTTGGTCGTATCGTTGTCGGACAAACATACAGGTTTGGGATCCGACAAGGTAGGCGAATAAGTCACAGAGAGAGTGTTTGTAAGGAAACCTAGCAAGACCTCGAGCTCACCAGGGAGAGGGACAATTTCATCCCCTCTAAACAAGAAAAGATGGTGATTAGAGTCCCAATGGTTGACTTTGGCATGAAGAAAATCAATGTTAACCACTAGTTGCATATAATTCAATAAAGGGTCTAAGTGGTAAATTTTGAAAGCTAGTTTGTCCTCGGTTGAAAGGGATGTGACCCATTGCTTCAAACGTTGTTCAAAGGTCTTCACTATTGTTCAAATAAAAAAGAGAATAAGAGTTTAGAGAGATTAATTCTTTTTAATTTCTTATGTTACTAAGAGAATAAATACGAGATGATCAAAAGCTTACACAAAACCACGTTTAAATAGACCCGAGGGGGCAAATTTTCGGCAAACTCGGCTTAAAGGAAAGTTCACTAACAGGTGGCGCGCGCAACTTATGAGTTGCGAGCGACATCCACGCGCAACTGATTTACATGTGCGCGAGAGCCACGCGCAACTCACGCAGTTGCGCGCGTCTCCCCTGAAACGGCATGTAAGTTGGGTTTATTTCCGTACTTTGGCTCATATAATTACGAAATCTTCACGAGATCTTAAGATGAATCATACGCTTGCCTTCTAACACTTTGTGTCCCTTTTTCTTGCCTACTTTCTTATTTTCTTTTTATTTTCTTTTATTATTTTCTTATTTCCTT